CAGAGATGGAAGTGTCCCCAGGAGAAGGGAATGATCAACTGTGTCAAGTATCCATGACAATGAAGACTGAGAACTGACCATAGGAATTCGCAGTGTGAGTTACTGATCACCTTGACAAGACTCATTACATCACACCCATCTGCTAGTTTATCTTCCATTGGAAGAAAGCCCGATAGAATTGGGTTCAAGAAAGAATGGAGTGGAGAGGAAATGGAGGCTGCAAATGAAGAAAACGCTGTTGAGTTTCTCCAGTCAGGGAGAGCAACAGGAGCAAAAGAGCTGGAAGGAAACATTGCTATTTTTCTCAGCCCTTATTTTTTATGCAGAGTGGTGATCAGAATATACAGTCAGTTTTGAATTTTATTTTTATTCACTTGTCTTGACATTGTTCAACTTTCCATATGGCTAATCTCCATATTTATAACTCTTGATGACTTTTTAATGTTTCATTCCGTGTATTTATCATCCTTTTCACAACCATGCTTGTCCATTGGGCATTTGGGATGCCTACAAGTTTTGATTATTAGATTGTAGCAATAGAACTCTTAACGTACATCGTTTTTCTTCCGTTAGCATTACTGCCTTAGGATATATTCCCAGAAGTGAGATTCCTTGGTGAAGTATGGGAATGTTTTATCTTACTCTACTGATGCTTCAAAGCTTTGTGTGAGCTTGTTTCTTTTTCCATTATCCTCAAATCTGTCTTGTGAACTTTGAGCCTGCTCACTTTGTGTCTATTGTATGAATAATGTCCTTTATAAGGATCAGCACAAAGCTGGTTTCAAAGAGGCAGAAGTTAAAGATGTCCCAAATGTTCAACTTTTCCAAACTGCTGTACCACTCCATCGTCTCTAACACCAGCCACTGCTCCTTCTGTCAGTATTCTTCCTTCCGTCTTAGGATTCTGTAATTCGCTGCAGTGCCTCCCAGAACACAAGAACCCCTTGGCTTATGCTGTTGTGGAGGCTGACAAGTCCCAAATCCATGGGTCGGGCATCAGTTGGGAGGCTTCTCCTGATTTGTGTGGTTACAAGGGTTGATGGACCCAAATGAGCAGGTCAGACAACAGGCCAATGGCTCACAGGCTGTGGAAGCTGGTGAGTCAGGTCAGATGATAGGCTGCTGGCTCAAGTCCCGAGAACTGGGTGTCAGATGATGAAGGACAAGAGAGAGAATTTTGACAGAGCAGTCATATATATTAGATATGGAACATATCCTTAAGGGAACTCTTCTTACTTGAGCAAGAGGATACAAAAGTGTGAAGGGGGATGACGGTGCCACACCTGTTCCAGTTCCCTAGTGCCGCCCTGACAGGAATATACCACAGGTGGGATGGCTTGAACAAGCAGGAGTTTATTCTCTTACAGTTTGGAGGCTTTAAGTCTGAGTTCAAAGTGCCAGGCTCTAGGGACTGGGTGAAAGCCCCTTAACTTGGGCTTCAGCTCTGCCTCCTGCTCCTGGCCCATTGAAGCTGGAGGCTTTGCTTCACTCAGCTGCTGGCTGCTGAGCCTGATAAACCCAAAGTCAACAGGTAACAAGGCACAGTCCTGATGCTACCAAACCACATGGCAGGCCATTAATTCAAGTCCATTAAAAGTCTCAAGGTTGGCAGAGAATGGCAGGCTGCTGAACAATGACACAGCTACCTGCAGGGTTCAAGCGTGCCATAAGCTAGAGACCATTTCCAAAGCTGCTGCTTATATATGGGAAGCAGAGCACATCCCAAAGGCAGCTACTCAGCTGCTTGTGGTAGATCCCAGCATGGAGCTGATTGCCAGTCTCATCATGGGGAACAACTACCACCAGCCACCCAGCCACTCAACCAGGCCCAGCCAAGTTGACACACAACCTTAACTACCACAGACCCTTTAGTAAGGTAGTGACTTAAGATACATCCCACTGTAATCCTGCCTTATTCATATAACCAACAACTCACTACAAAATGGGACTACAACCACAATCATAGAGGCTAGGATTTACAACACATCTCAAAATGGAGGAATGTGGCTGGAAGGGCCATATAAGGTAATTCACTGCATCACACTGTGTTTCCATATCTCTTTCCTTAGAATTCCTCTGGACTACTTCACCCAAGGTCTCTCTTCCTTTCTTACCTTCTCCTTCTGTGGTGTTGATACAGAGTGGGAAGTAGCAAGTGTAGTAGCAGGGCTGTCGTAGAGGGTGACGTTAAAAGTGGCCCTTATATAAAACGGACTTCTAGTAGGTCTCAAGCCACAAACAGGTCTAGAATTAGTTACTGTGCTTAAAGAGGAGAAAGCTTGCGAAGCATCTAGTTCATGTGCCACAATACAATCAGGTTTTTCTTGCTTGAAAATATCTGAGACACTAAGCCCGGCTAGGAAAATGTGTTCTGCTTGAGTCTGAAGAAACATATTTATTTTCAAAGGTGGTTGACACCAAACCAAACCAAATCCACTGCCGTCAAGTTGATTTGGACTCAGCGACCCTGTGGGACAGAGTAGAACTGCCACCTTGGATTTCCAAGGCTGTCATCTTTATGGAAGCAGATGGACAGGATAGAACATGGACAGGATAGAACTACCTCACAGTGTTTCCAAGGCTATGAGCTTTGTGCAAGCAGACTTCCACGTCTTTCTCCCATGGAGCAGCTGGGAGGTTCAAACTGCCATCCTTTTGGTTAGCATCTGAGTGCTTTAACCACTGCATAACCAGGGCTTCTAGGTAGATGGCACGGGTGTATTTTCCATCAAATGTCATTTAGATCATATGTTTGCTTCTCTGTACTAAGCTTTTTAATCCAGAGAGTTATCCTCTGGACAACATGCCCAAGGTGGGGCAAATGGTGAAACGTGGACTACTGACCAACAGGTTGGTGGTTCAAACCCACCCAGAAAGAAAGGCCTGGTGATTTGCTTCCTAAAGACCTCAGCCATGAAAATCCTGTGGAACAGTTGGCTCTGTACACAGGGCTCACTGGGAGTTTGAATCGACTCAGCTGCAACAGCAACAACATTGCAGGACACTTTGAGGGGAGTTCTGTGAAAGTGGCTCATATACAAGACAGGCTTCTAGATGCTTATCCTATAAAACTCCTTACTGAAGTCATGCCCCATGGCAAAACAATTCCATGTCCGTGCACTTAGGATGAACAAGGTAGGAAGAACCATCTTGCTGGCAAACGTGAGACCCCGTTTTGTTTCCTGAGGGCTAACCAAGTGGCATTCTTTCCCTCACAGCTCATAGCCCTTCTCAGGCAAATGGGCCAAATGTACAATTATATATAAACCTATCAGGTTTCTAAGGTACCATATCCCGTAAGAAAGGACATGGAATCCCATTCATCCCACCGTTCAAAAAAGTGCCTCACCCCCACCCCCAGTGACACACAGAACATTCTGGACAGTGGGACTATTCTGGTATCATCCATGCTAGCAGTGCTGTGTACCGCAGAAGGGGGTGGTAATTTTAGAAGCAGTAAAGCTCTCCCCTGTGAATGATTTAGGATTAACTGAGCCAGGGCCCCACTGAATTAGAAGTGCTGATTAAGTAGAAGTACATCAGGTTTGGAGTGCAGCCACATCAACTGAGTTAGAAGAGCCTCTGTCCTTAGAAGCCCAGTGGATGCGTTCCTCACATCAGTGTGTGGCCAGTCATTGCTCAATGCACACCGATACTCCTGTCCCTTTCTCAGATGGTCCGCTAAATGAAAGTGAATTTTAATGGAAAGTTCTTCAGCTATCATGGAATCTACACTCTAGGCTTTTGTGAGTAAACTTTACCTGGAACCAGTTAGAGTTTTTTTTTTTTTTTTTTTTTCAATTTTCCCCTCATTCATGTAATAGATGTTTCCAAGATTGTTGCCTGCCCGGATGACGTGTATGCAAGCCTAATGTCTGTGGTAGTTTTAGCTCAACGTTTTCTAGACATCATTTTCAGTTTCTAGAATTTTGGTGAAGGAGCCCCGGCAGCACAGTGGTTCAGTGCTCAGCTGCCAACCCGAAGGTCATTGGTTCAAACCCAGCAGCGACTCCATGGGAGAAGAGAGCACTCTGCTCTGGTCAAGGTGACAGCCTAGGAAACCCTCCAGGGAGGTTCTGTGCAGTCACACGTGGGGTCGCCATACAGCAGAGTCAACTTGGTGGCACTCAACAACAGAATGTTGATGGAACCAACTGCAGCAGCATTTTTCTTTTATTCTTTTTATTGGGATTTGGGTGAAAGGTTACCGAGCAATTTCAGTTTCCATCCAGCAGTTCATACACAATTTTGTCTCATGACACTGACTCCAATTTCCCACAATGTAACAGCTCTCTTCCCACTTCCTCCTCGTAGTTACCTCTTCTGTGTCCTTCCCTCCCATGCACTCCTGCCCCCTTAACGGTGCCCCCATGCATACACTGCCCTTCTGTTCTCCCATGATTGATCTCTCCAAGGAGTGTATCTACCTGATGTAAATGGTCACCCCATATGCCGGTGTTTTATTTGGTACACCAGCATTTTAGTGAAACATGTCAGCTCTTTGGTATCACTAACTTTCTTGACTCCCAAATCTGAGTTTGGACTCTCTCCCCTGGGCCCTGAAGAGAAAGCTGAAGTAAGATGGGTCTTTCCCTTGCAGGAGAACGCTGTGAACGGGGAGCACCTGTGGCTGGAGACCAACGTCTCGGGAGACCTGTGCTACCTGGGCGAGGAGAACTGCCAAGTCCGGTTTGCAGTGAGTACTCAGGAGCTCTGGTCTAAAGGCAAAGGGACCCCTGGCTGGTTCCCGGGAAGAGGTTTCAAAGAACCTGTCCTCTGTGAGGTGCGAGGTATTGCCAAGGTTTACAGAGAGTTGATCGAGTTGATAGGACTTCGAGGGTGTCACTTTTCATCATTTTAGGGGTCAGATATTCAGGTCACATCCTGGTATTACTTAATGGTAGTATTAATTCTGTTAATACAATTCAAGTATTTGAATGAATTTGAATTAATTGATTAGTTAATTGGAATATTTCAAATAATCATTTGACATATTTGAAACCATTCAAATTGTAGTACTAAGCCAGTCTCTTAGTTTCCTCATGATGACACACACGTAGGGCAGGTTTTTGTTTGTGTGTTGGGGGTGCGGGAGAGACAGTGTATGTGTGAGAGAGGGTCTGCTCATGTGGGGATGGCTGGGTGTGGAGGGAGGGGCTCTGTGGTGGGGGCATTACCGGTGGGTGAAAGGGTTGGGTGGTCAGAAGAACCGATGCTGGTGTGGGTATGGGCAAGAAAATAATTGTGACTGTGTTTTGGCAGCTAAAGTTCTAGAAACTATATTAGCATCAACAGTGAGGAAAATCGAAGCGGTCTTTGGCTTGTAGAACTTGCTTGTCCTCCCTGCGGAACATTCGTTTCAATGTTAGCACTCTCTCTATGTCCCACAGAGGGAACACGGCTGCCTGTAGTAAGTCGTGGAGCAGTTGAACTTTCATGTTGACTCATTGAACTTACAAATGTTATGTAGTTTAAAATTAGTGATCTAAAAAGAGAGTAGTGCAAAATCTGGACTGAGGACGAAGAAAGACAAGAAGCATTCCTTTGTGCTTGGGGAAATGGGCATCATAATTTACATCATATGTCCTTTTCATTATGTTTGTTCATTATGTAGGAGCTCTGGTGGTAATGTGGTTAAGGCATTGGGCTGCTAACTGAAAGGTCGGTGGTTTGAACCCACCAGCCACTCAGTGGGAGTAAGATGAGGCAGTTTGCTTCTGTAAAGATTGACAGCCTTGGAAACCCTATGGGGCAGTTCTACACTGTCCTCTTGGGTCAGTATGAGTTGGAATCAACTCAGTAGCAGTGGGTTTGGTGTGGTCCTTCATTATGTGAAAGAAAGAGTTGGGGCAAAATGGAAGACCTTGGAATTACCAACAAATAGTTTTCTCTTACTGACTAACGAGGGGGAAATTGAGTTCCCTGAGAGGTCATGGGAACAGATAGACCCCAAAGCTTTTATCAGACCACCTGACGCAGCAGAGTTCTGGAACCAAGACTTTTTTCATCTCTGTGGACCATTTCGCACTAAGTTTATAGATTTTGTCTGGGGAAATTTCATGAAGCTTGTGGGGAAACTGGGCTTTGTTTGAGTGCAGCTGAGAATCGTCAGTGTCCGAGCAAAGCCCAGATGCGCAGGCCCCAGATCTGAAGCCAGGAGCCCTGGGTTGAACCACAGTGACCACTCGCTGTGTGAGGTTGGCGGACAGACTCATGGCCTGTGGGCTTCAGCTACCTGGGAGGTAGAATACAAGCATGGGGTTGAATTCTTTTTCATTCTGTTTCCAACCTGGAGCTGTGCTTCGCTGTTTACATTTCTCTAATTTTGTTGTAAGTTCAATTGATTTAAATATCAGGAGTTCAACTTCATGCATATGGATTTTTAACTAAAGCATAATTGCCTGGAATTTGATGAAATTAACTAAATCTATGAGAAACGCCGCTGTTCGGACTCAAATAATGAATTAACATTAGGGTCTTAGTTAATTACACAAATGTTGGTCTTGGGCTATCAAATAATAAGAAATGGAACAACAGTGGAAAAGTGAAAGCCAAGCTCATTTGCGTCTATGCCTTTGAACCGTTTCTGCGGTGGGCTTTGTCATGGGCTCTGTCTCATCTCCCAGCTGCTCCCTTTGATCTTCTTCAGGTGCTCGTTTGGGGACACACACATATTTTCTCTAGACAGCTCCATGAATGGCTCCGTATAGCCTCATTAAACCTTGTGTCTGTAAAAAGCATTGCTATCTGCTGCCTGGTTATAGCTTGATCACTATGAGCTGGGTGGGAGAAACCGCAAGGGAGGAAGTGGAGTTTGTGTCAGATGCCCTGGGCTTGTGGTACACATGGTTAAACCCTTGGCTGCTAACTGAGAGGTCACAGGTTCGAGTCCACCCAGAGCGGCTTCGAGAGACAGTCCCGGTGATCTGTGTCTGAAACGTTGCTCACGTGGGGTCGCCATGAGTTGGGATTGACCCCACGGCAGCTGGAAGCAGCAGCAGCACTGAGTTGAGTCCCCGCCACTCCATTTACTCCCTGAGTGAGATTTGGATGTAACATTTCATCTTTGTGCGTTCGGTTTCCCGTTTTAAAGTGTTGTTAGATCTACTTCAGTGATTTTTATTTCTGGATGAGATTATAGTCACTGAAGGAGCCCTGGTGCCACAGTGGTTAAGCGTGCAGCTGCTAACTGAAAGGTTGGAGTTCGAACCTACCAGCTGCTCCGTGGGAGAAAAATGCAGCAGTCTGCTTCCGTAGCGATTTTAGCCTTGGAACCTTACAGGCAGTTCCCCTCTGCCCAGTAGGGTCACAATGGGTTTCGGTTTTGGTTTATTATGTCGTTGTTGTTAAGTACCATGAGTCAGTTCCAACTCATAATGACTGTGGTAGTTAAGTTTGGGTGTCAGCTTCATTGGGCCTGGTTGAGTGGCTGGGCAGCTGGATGTAGTATTCCCCATGATGAGACTGGGAATCAGCTCCATGGTGAAATCTACTGTGAGCAGCCGAGTAACTGCCTTAGGGATGTGGTCTGCTTCCTGTATGTAAGGAGAAGGCTTGGGAACGGTCTCTAACCTTTTGGTACACTTGACCCCTGCACGTAGCCATGTTGTTCAACAGCCTGCCATGCCCTGCTGATCTTGGGACTTCATCTGCGCTGGAATTAGTGGCCTGCCATGTGGTTTGGTAACAATGGGACCGTACCTTTTTACTTGTCAACCTTGGGCTTGTCAGCCTCAGCAGCCAGCAGCTGTCTGAGTGAAGAAAAGCCTCTAGCTCCAGTGGGCTGGGAGGAGCTGAAGCCCAAGGTTGAGGGGCTTTCACCCAGCCCCTAGAGCCTGGTGCTTTGAACTCGGACTTAAAGCCTCCAAACGGTTAGGAGAATAAACTCCTGTTTGTTAAAGCCATCACATTTGTGGTCTTTTCTTGTTAGAGCAACACAGAGGTGACCAAAACAGTGGCTCTGTATCCAACAGAACAAAACACTGCCTGGTCCTCACAATCCTTGCTACGCTTGAGCTCGCTATTAGAGCCACTGGGTCAGTCTATCTCATTGAGGGTCTTCCCCTTTTTCACTAACCCTCTACTTTACTGGGAGCTCTGGTGGTGTACTGCCTAAGGCATTTGACTGCTAACCAGAAGGCTGGTGGTTCAAACCC